CACAGTCAATAGTGGTCAGAAAGTATTATATGTGACTAAGTTAATAAAATACAAACCGGTAACTTCAAAAACAATTCTATGAATTGAAACTGTTGGGTTTAAACAAAGGAACAGGGACACAAAGTGAGATTTTCTTTGCAAAGGGAAGAGCACAAACTCTCTTGGACTTGCTCGTTCCTTCTTGCGCTTTTTATTAACTTCAAACAATGGTGGGTGTGATCGTATAGCGTGACAACAACATGATTGGTGGGATTTTCCACTGAAGAGGATATGAACATGAAATAAAATGATCATAAAGACAAAACCATAAAAGTAAACTCATGAAGAAAACCAAGAATAAAACATAGAAGAATAATATGATAAAAACCGACTGTTCTAACAGAAACAATATTAGTTTACTGTGGTTTTCATGGCTTCTTAGTCAGCCATGTTGGATTTTGAAGTCAGGGTTGTTCTTCACTTCTGACTGGACTGATTTTTTTCTGACTTACAAATCAAAACTTTAAATTGAATAAAAATGGGACGCACCATAGGCAAACTCTTCTTCTCCAAACTGATCTTCTGCAACAGGTAAAAAAAAAAGTTAATACATTTTCCACTGAACCCCACTTCGAAAGATCTGCACTATCTTTTTAACAAGCTATTATTTTTGTTGCCAAAGGTTTTACAAATAATGTCCTGATTATCTGAAATGTGGGTTTGTTTAAAAATAAATCTTGAACTTTGTTCTTACAGTTGTTTATTAAAATTACAGTTAAAAAAGGTGAAACAGGAAGTAATTGCATCATTGTATGAGTTGAGATGCATCTCTGTTCTGCAGCATCCGCAGTGTTGATCCGTAAGCAGGCAGTTCGATCCGACTGGACCAGCACAAATAAATCAGAACAACGAAAAACTGGATGAAAACTATTGCACTGGGTAGTATGGAAATATGTGGGATAGGATTGCTGAATAATCTTGTAATAAACTAGTCATAACAACACTAAAACTTAAAGAAACAATCAAGTAATAACAGAATTAGAAATGCTAAAACAGTTAAATCTGGTCCTCTGGACATTCAAAAAAACAAAACAAAGCAAAACAACAAAAAAATGTAGTAATTCTACATTTTTTTGTTGTTTTGCTTTGTTTTGTTTTTTTGAATGTCCAGAGGACCAGATTTAACTGTTTTAGATTTTTCCACCTGGATTATTGAGCATGCATCAGGAGAATTAGAAATTGTTAAGTTGTACACAAGACAGGCATGCATTAAAAAAATTACCCTCAGCTATTTTTCTTGTATTTACACATGAACATTACTTATTCCAAGTCGTTAAGAGGCTTGACATGTAATTATTGTGTTCATATTCTTAAGGGAAAAACAAAAGACCCAGTTGTTTTAGTCCTGGAAGCTAAAAGGTCAGGACTGTCAGAGGACTTGCACAGACCTGAACTCAGTTCTCGGTGTTCAAATGATCCTCTGGCTCCACCATGTGGGTCCAACGACAAGACGCAGAATCTCATCTGCAAGGCTGCATTTATCTTTAGAGACCACTTGAAAAGGTTTGCTGTTCAGCAGAGCGTTTTAAATTAAAGCAGACCATGAAGTATTTTAATAAATAGAGAATCAGGTGAATAATTTCAGGCCTCATATTTGGACCTCAGCAGCTTTTTACACACGGATTGAACAAAATCACATGAGTTGAAACCAACATTAAACTCAAACCAGGGCTTAAGAAATCAGTGATTGGCTGCTCTTCTCAACAAGTTGCTGCAAAAATAGTGGTCTGAAGAGAGTATGGGGAAGCAACATAAACTAGAGAAATTGCATTTCCTGTGAAAATGCAGTGTGAATGTGTATTGCTGAAGAACATGTTGAAAAACAGCTGGAGAAGGGCTAAAAATATTCTGAAATGTAGCTGAAATAAGAAAGAAGAAAACAGAAAGAACGCATGTTTGCTGAAATGAGCACAAAAATTAGAAAATTAGCTAAAAAAAAAAAATCTGAAATTGAAAAAAAAAAAAAAACGCTTAAAAGTAGCTGAAAAGGCAAAAATAAGCTTAAACTACCAGGATCCAGAAAGAGCTGAAGAGTGCAAAAAAAGGTGGAATTAGCTGAAAAAGGTTAAATTTGCACAAAACAGCTAAATAGTACCTGAAATAACAACAACAACAACAAAAAAAGAGCTGAAACTAGTGATTCCTATATCTACATTGAAATTAGTATAAAGAAGTTAATTAGGCTGATGGTAGCAGAAATTACCACAAAAAAACTTGAATTTATCGGAAAACAGCTAAAATTAGCTAAAAGGGTAGCTGAAAAGGTAGCACAACTATGCTGAAAGAAGCAGAAACGAGCATAAAAAAATTGAAATTATCTGAAAAAAGCTGAAATTAGGGAAAAACGCTGAAAAGTAGCTAAAAAGGCAGGAAGCTGAAATTACAAGTGGGGAGAGAGAGCACATTTTTGCTGAATTAGGCTGATAAGTTTAAATGAGTGCAAAAATGTGAAATTAGCTGAAAAAGCCTAAATTAGCATAAAACAGCTAAATATTTGCTGAAATTGCATAAAAAGGTAAAACTTGCAGAAATAAGCTGAAGAGCATAAGCTGAAATTAGCAGAAAGAAGTTAGAAGCACAAAAATGTTGTAGTTAGCAGAAAGAATATGAAAGGACAGAACAGCTGAAAAATATTTAAATTAGCACAAAAAAGCTGAAGCAGAACCAAATGTGAGAGGAACAGTAAAAGGTTGTAAACACAGATCTAACGATGTGAAGATTGTAAAATGAGACCGTCATTTTCTATGAAGAAAAAAAAGGCAGAAAAGGCAAAATATTTCAAAAAGCTAAAGTTGCACCAAAACCAAGTCATAGCACCCTTCTCCTGATGAGCTGAATGTTTTCGTGTATGGTTTGTTGAAATGCCACAAAAATTGTGGAACGAGAAAGATGCTGAAAAACACACAGAAGAAAACTGGATCACAACAGTGTGGATGCTTCATAAACATTCACACAATGACTAAATACACAAAATAACTTACGGTAATATTACATGTCAGTTTATAAAATAAAAAAACCTGAGGTAGACTAGCAGAAAAGCAGGCAAGACCAGGAGAACAGATATAGAATTTATTCTCAATATCCATTGCAAAGAAGAAGAGGTGACACAGCTTGAAACAGATAATACAGAATTTATTTTCAACCAGAAGTAGGAAAAATACACGGGCAGGTGTAAAGGAAACGAGCAGAACCTGTAGTCTAAAGAATAAAAATTAAAAAAGGATCAAACTAGTCCAAAGAGAATCAAAAAGGACGGGTAAAGGTGGGGAACAACAGAAAGCATTGTTTACCATTCAGTGTGAGTTTTAAAACAGTATGTGTTGATTTGAAAAGAGCTGCCTTGATTTCTCATCTGGGTTTAATGGACATTCGATAACTTTGTGCAAGTGTTTCGCCGGTTTGTTGTCGAGTTTTTTTCTTGTTTGCTTGCTTTTTTGCTGGTATTTTATGAATGGTAAACAATAGTTGGTCCAGTGCATAAACACAGTGACACAGATCAATATATGTACTCAGCTGACTACAGAGAAAGACGATCCTGATCATCCAACAACTACCACGAAAAATCGGCAGGGACGTGAGCAAATATACAAAATGGCGGGTTTTTAAAAGGGTTGAGCTGATGAAGCAGTCTGGAAGGTTTAAAACTGGAATTTAAAAAGGTGAAACTGGCTACATTTTAAAGATAAAAAAAAAAAAAAGAGGCTCAACGTGAAGGTTTCTGGTTATTATTGCAAAGTTTAGCTGACGGGTCGAAGGAACCGAACGGTACGATCACAGATGTGACTCAAGGAAAACGACTCGTGTAGCTTGCTTTCCTTACAGCCCTGCTAACAATGACCGGAATGATTTGAAAGTTAAAATAATATATATAAAAAAAAAAATTTTAAAGAAAAAAAAAGTGGGGGTGAGACATTTGGCTCTACAACAGAGAAGTGAACTACAAGCAGCTTTGGTGTTGATCGTTACAAAAAGATGCGTCCATGTTGGGAGAGAAGGGGGCGTCAAAACAAACCACTACACCCGACAAGCTAATCATGATGCAACAGAGGACGAAGAACAGGAAAACGTGATTACTCACTGGCGTATTCGCAGGAAACAAGAGGCAACAAAAAGAAAAATAAATGATATTTGAGAGATAAATCAGAGACTATAGCTAGTTCGAACAGACTGAACCACTGTAACGCACGAGAACAGAAGATGGACTAGTAGTACCCAAAAATCACAGGACCGGTCTAGCGGCACATCATTAGCTTTGTCATACGAACACTTTTTTTTTTAAACAGCTGTGTCTAGTACTGAACTGCAGCCACGAGAAAGACAGCACTGCTGCCCTAACCTACAGACACCAGCCCTTCTCCAGGCTAGAGCCACGAAACATCAAAAATAAAGCTGACAGGTCTGGAGGAGAAAAATAAAAAAATTAAAAAAATCCCTGCGCTGTGTTAGCAGACGCCATTGATGCGAGGTGTAACCGCTGGAAAACGTTATTCTGCTGAGGCATCACCCGGAACATTCGACCTCGCCCATCGAGACGGCGCGTGCGCATGATTTCTACACAGGATCCGATTTGGTTTATGGCAGAAGAGGGGGGGGGGGGAACGTCAGGAGAATAATGCAGTAAACATATTACCATAAAGAACTCATGATTTACACATCAACACCCAAAAAACTCAGTATCTGTTTTTAGAAAGGAAACAAAGAGATACATCCTTTTATTCACACTTTACAAAAAAAAAGCTACCCTTTAAATCTACAACAATACTAATGCCATTAAAGACAAATCAAAAGTGATTTCCACTGAGAAATGGAGGGTTAAAAAGTGGGTTTAAATTCATACGTCCTCTTTTCTTGCTTCCCTCTTGCTTTAAAAAGGTCATTTGAACAAATAAAGTACTTATACTTATTAAAGTGGCTGAACAGCGAATGAGGGGAGCTGCATCTGAACCTTTTAAGCGCTCACGTTGAGTAAAAAAAAAAAAAGAAAAGGAAGCAGAACTGCTGAAATGATCCCACAGCTGACACGGTTCAATTGTCAGACGTAATAAATGCGATCCAAGCCGGCCGGGCCTTTTCAAAAGACACGGACAAGCTTACCCACCCTCATTCCTTGTTCGTCCAAAAGCAGGGGGAAAAGTGGGCCTTCTGACCTTTCCAGTGTGGAGGTAGGGGCCCCCACAAATGGCACTGTAGCTTCAATAATAAGGGTAGAAAAATCTATACAAAGAGGTGGGGGGTAAAGGGGTTTTAAAAACGTAGCTTGAGCAAGTATAGTGCTTATGTGAAGTCTGAGGTTGGGCGATTTTATGGTGGAGGCTCGGGAACACTTGTGGCCAAAAGGGAAGCTAGGGGCTTGGTATTTTAGGGGGGGTGTTAAAATGTGCTTGGGTACAAAGAGGGAGCAAAACAATCTGAAACTGATAAAACGATAAGACACCCAATTCATTACCCCTACAGAGAGGAGGTCCGTGGAGCAAAGCATACCTGATTAACTAGAGCTCAAGGAACAGGAAGGATAAACACATCATCATAACACAGTCACGTCTCATAAAAAAACAATAACAAACAAACAAACAAACAAAAAGGACATAAAATCTTCACAAATGTCATAACAGTATTTAAAAATAAAAGGAGAGGAAGCTGTTCGGGCGTTCGCTGCGTGGAAATAGTGCAAGACGACAACTGCTACAGTGAGGCGTACGCGTGGGGGCGTCTGCGAGTCGTTAACGCTCCACGTGTAGAACAGGTGGGGGCTCGTTTGCTCTTCTATTGGTTCAAAACTGACGGCGGCGGGCGCGGATCGGCCGCTTTGCTCACGGGCGACAAGCAACAGGTAGAGTCGGTGTCTATTTACATCAGAGCAACAACCAGACCGCTGAGGGAACGGGAACGCTAAAAACAATCCAAACGATACTGAAGCTAATCTCGAGGGGAGTGCAAAGGAGTGACAGCGAACGCCACGAGCAGCCTCCTCTTACGTCTTTTGTACAAGCTGGTAATATCAATTCATTTTATAACACCAACTGGATAAAAATTTAGCCATACTTTACAATACAATCTTTTTTTTTCTTCCTCAAATCTGACCATAATTTACTCTTCGTACAAAAAAATGCCAGAAAACAGGTCTTTTTTTTTGTGGTTCATATACAATCATGTAAAGACTGAGTCTAGGTTTCTATTCTGTACAAACACTTGTGAAAAACAAAACGAACACAAAACTGCTTTTTGTGTGTGTGGAACATATGGCTGGGGAGGGGGGAGGGGGGGTCACTACTGGCCTCGGAGACAGTGCTACACATCTGCCTGCAAATTACCTGTGTGTGTGTGTGTTGTGTGTGTGTGTGTGTGTAAAAGTGTGTTTATGTGCACGTGTGGAGCCGGGTGTCAGCTCCTGATAGTGAGAGGAATGCTGGTTTCATTTATTAGCCGCTTGCTCTCTTTGCCTAAACGCAACCTAAAGGGAAAGATTTGTGATAGCCCTCCATTACTTTTCCAATTAACCTAGATCCCCTGCTAAAACCTCAACAAGGTGACACTCGGGCCACATGAGCTCCTAATAAGCACAACACTAGTGCAACGCCTACACAAGCTGGGGTGAAACAGGATGGTAGCTGCTCTGCTGCCTCACATCTTTAACTCTGTATTGCCGGCATGAAATCTGGCAAAATGTCTGTTTTCCTTAGTATCTGCAGGTTTAAAGACTTGCACCAGGGCTGGTGACAGAGGTGTAGATGATCTTGTAGCACCACAGGAGGCCATGGCTATGCAAAGACCTCAGCACCACAGAATGTCAGCAGGAAAGAAAGATCACCTCGTTGGCTGCGTGATGAGATTTCAGGGACTCATCTGCCAGCAGAGCTGCTCTAAACCTACCGCATCCAACTCCTATGTGTCTTACAAAAAGCTGCTCAGAGAACGGGTGTGGGGGTTAACAAGCCAGTGATGGAGCTCTGAGAATGACAAGTCTGCCGTCTTTGCTGGTTTTAGATTTATACAGGACAGACAGGCTCAGCTCTGGAGCTTCCCAAGCAAAATATCACCCCCTCAGCTGCGTTCAAGTGTCCCCCGTTCTCCTAAACGTAACAGAGCCTTGTGTGATCAATCTGAACAAGCTACCATCTTCTTTAGTTTGAAAGATGGGGGCGGTGGCGGGGGGAGTGAATCGAGTGAGGAAACGGGAGTCCAAAACACAAAATACGATACAGACAGGAGTGGATCAAGCAGTTAAAAAAAGAACATAAAGAGAAAGAAAAAAATATAGAATATCTTTAACAAATCCCTGTCGGCCAGACCTCACTGAACAAATATTTTACAGGTTGTGTTTGTGTGTGCGTCTTCCTCCTCCAGTGTGGTGGAGCGAAGAGCTGGTAAAAAGAGGGAGCAGGGTCGCGAGGGAGAAGCTGTGGCTGCAGCGCCCCCTGGTGGTACGGCAGGGTGTCACTACCTGCGTGCAGGCAGGTGAAGCCCATTGACCTGGGAGGGCACATTGGGCAGGAGCAATTCCAGCTGAGCAAAGAGGGAGAAGTGGTCAGAGGGAATGTGGGGGTGAGGGCAGCCGCTGACATTGTTCTCTACAAGCCAGTGGGGGTCCAGAGGGCCCAGGATACCCAGCACGTTCAGGTGAGGCCTGGAGTAGAAAATGTAGTCGATCACACCCTAAGAACAGAAGAAGAGTTTAGTGCAGGAGGAACTGGAGACATGTTTTGAACCATGAGCACAAATCGGTGCCGTTTCTCTACTTACCTTGAAGTCGAAGGTGTAATTTGTGTAAGGCATCAGGCCGTTCTCGTAGGCGCTCTTCAGCTTGAAGCCGTGGGTGATCCTGCCGTTGGACAAGCTGTTCTTGCCGTTGCAGTTGAATTTGGTCAGGCTGTCGCTGTAGCGGAGCTCCTTGAAGTCCTTGTGTGTGCAGTCCACGCCACCAGTACTCAGGTACTCCACCACGCCTGAACAAAACGCACAGATGAGATTATGTCCTTGCTGTCAGAGTTACCCAAGCTAAAAGGAACTTTAAATAAAGTTGACAAACTGCACAGCCTCAGAATTAGCCGCTCGCTTACCAGAGTCAGGCAAGGAGTTGAGGTCGGCACACAGCACCAGTGGAATGGCATTGGTTTCACCAGAGGACAGCTTGAAGCTGCGTGTGGCCTTGTCCACTATGTTCTTCACCTCTGACAGGAACATCATGGTCTGGACCAGCTTAACGTCCGAGTACTCCGGGTCCCAGTGCATGTGGGCGTTTGCTACCAGCATAAGCTGCTTGTCCATGCCATGCAGGGACTTCCCAGCTGAGAGGAGGAAGGAAACATATCAGAGGAGTACTGGTGTTTCATTTGTCCCCTGCTCTGAGTTATGAACCACAGGCCTCCAGTGTCTAGCTCTGCAAATCCAGTAGTTTGGAGAATTACTAACAAAATTAGATTTAGAACTAGAGAAATTGCATTTCCTGCAGTGCAAATGCTTACTGGTGAAGAACTTGCTGAAAATCAGCTGAAATGAGCTAAAACATGCTGAAATGTAGTTACAATTGAAGAGCAAGCCTAAGTTAGCAGAAGAAAGCAGAAACACATATTTGAAGAATTGGGTTTAAATAAGCAGAAATTAGCACATAAATTGGGAAATGAGCTAAAAAAAAAAAAAAGTGAAATTAGCAAAAATAGCTGAAAAGTAGCTGAAAAGGCAGAAGGCCTAAACTACCAGAAGGAAGTGGAAGGAGCTGAAATGAGCTAAAAAAATGTGGAATTAGCTGAAAAAGTTTAAACTAGCATAAAAACAGATATAGTAGCTGAAATAGTAGAAAAAGCTGAAACATACAGATATTAGCTGAAAGGAGCATAAGAAGCGGACATTAGCAGAAAAAAGTTAGAAGAAGCACAAAAATGTTGTAGTTAGCAGAAAGAATCTTAAAGGAGAACAAAACAGCTGAAAAAATGTTTAAATTAGCACAAGGAAGCTGAAAGAAGCTGAATCAGAACAAAATGTGAAAGGAGCGGTAAACGGTTGTAAACAGATCTAAGGATTTGAAGGATGGAAACTGAGCTCAGTTCATTTTCTGTGAGAGAAAAAATGGCAGAAAAGGCTAAATATTTCAAAAAGCTAAAGTTGCACCAATAGGAGAAGTCATAGCAGGATTGTCCTGAAAGAGCTGAACGTTTTGATTTGTGATTTGTTGAAATAGCTTAAAAAGTGTGATATGAGAATCTCCCCAAAACAAACATACGGAAGAAAAATGGATTACAGTGTGAATGCTTCATAAGCGTTCACACAATGAGGAGTAAAACTTTATCTAGAAGAAATAAAAACTCTAAAAATATCAAGCAGCACATGTAATGAGAGTCCAATTCTAATAAAAAATCGGAGAAGACCAACTACTCACAGGAGATTTCAATAATCTCTTTGCGGACCTCCAGCAGTACCGCTACTCCAATGTTGTCTTTTGTCATCACCCTGTTCAACATAGCCTCGGAGCCCTCGGAGTTAGCCATGGCCAGCTGGTTGAACTCCACCGTGTGCTTCTGCACTGCGCTGAACCTGCAGATAAACACAAAAAGATGGAGAGGAAAAAATAAGCTAAAAAAAAAAAAACTTTGTAGAGAAAAGTAGAAATAAATCATTGGACCACAATAATTTACAATAAGCTGCAAAAAGATGGACTCCAGGATTAAAAAAAACAGCCCATAAGAGACTAAAGTCCCACTTACTTTTCTGTTTTGAAGAAAATTGCACATCCGTCCACATGTTTCCGATCCGACTCGGACATGGTTCTAGCTCGTGACTTTGGACTGAAGAACCCGTCGTATCCTTGCTCTTTCAACTCGGGCAAGAAAAAACTGTAGTACTGCTCCGTTTCAACCTCCTGTAATCGACAGCAAAAAAGAAGTGCCAGGTCAGCAATAAGATCTGACATCACTTAAACATTGATTATTGATAAATTAAGAATGAGTATTGATTTTTGGGCTACTAAAAATGTGCGAATGTGAAGACTTAATGTGACCATGATGCTAAGCTGTTTCCAGTCGGGGTGCATGTTTCCACAACACACCTGAATGAAGGAATACAGCAGCAGCGCACATCTGTCTCTGAAGACTTTGTTCCATTAGAGGGAGTTTTAGCTTCAGAACCTGAGTGAATTTTATTTCCCCAGACGTCTTCATGGTCATTTTAAAGCAAAAGCATGAAATAAGACAGTGTTTTGAATTCATAACACACCGCAGCAGCTGAGATTAACCTCATTAAGACTGTCTGAGTTCTCTGTTGAGAACGGCATTAATAGAATATTATAAAAGCTTTACTTTTAATATGTGAAGTAACATTAAATATTAATTTAAGGGGAGTTTTTTTTCTATAATGTACATCCTTACAACAAATAAACTTTAGGCATATTTTCTTTTATGTACAAGCACAGAAGAAATTAAAGAAACATTTTAAATATAATTTTTTGTTTGTCAAAGGCTAAAATAGGCCAAGTAAAACTACAGCATTGTGTACACTGATCATCATAAAGTAATTTATGCTTAACATAAGCTGTTTTCGTATCCAGCAGATTATCTTCTGTCTCTAAAATATATTCAGAAAATCCTGTGTGCACCTGTATATTGTGTCTGACTGCAGAACAAAGTTACATTCAGAACAAAAAAAAACAGCTGAAAATTAGCTAAAAATGCAGAAAGAAGCTGAAACTAGAAGAAGGAAGGGGACAGAGCACATTTTTGCTGGATTAGCATTGACACAATACTGAACAGTAATCTAGAAAAGAAAAGAAAACATCCACCATATTGTTAGAAAAACTATGAAAAATCACCAAGTTAGAAGATATAATGCAAGTTCCAAACAAAGTAACCAATTATCCTATTTAAAAAAAAACACTTATTCATGAGTGGATTTTTTTTTGTTGCTGAATTTTCCATCTCGTTCAGGGCAGTCTGTGCATGACTGCTAAAAACAGCCAAGAGTAAAAACTGACTCTCAGACTCAAACCCTGTTGTGTCATAGTGTTGCTGCAGCGTGTGCTATTGTTTTTCAGTGACCTCTGACCTCTGTCAGGCTTTAGCTTAGTTCGTTAAATGATTACACAGTGCCGTGTTGTTCCTGTTCAATTAAAGCTGATTTCATCTCATTTTAAAAGCTGGCAAAAGGAGTGTATACTTTTTAAAACAGAACTAATAACTACACTACAAAGTCCATCTATTCTTGCTTCACCCTGGTGATAAACTGGAGTGAATCCCAGCAGATGCTGGGCTCACTGGACAGACCAGACAATGACAAGAATTCACGTTCTCACAAAGAAGCTGGTTTAGAATAACCAAATAACGTGACATGTAAATCTCTGTGATGACAGTGTATGCTTCATGTGGAAAGGCCAGAGCCAACCAGGAAGTTCAGCTGCAGAGCCGTCCTGTCGTCAGTAAACACTGAGCAGCTCGAGGGCAACTGTAGCAAACAAGATTTAGCCACAACAACTAGACGGACACCTGCAGAATGTTATTAGGACATACAGAACATTTGTATTTGCCTAAACAGAAGCTGTAGTCAGGGGGGGAAATGGATGTTTTCAATAATCACAATTAGGTTAGCAAAAAATCCAGTAGTTTTCAAAGTTAGAAACTTTTCTCTGGAAATGATGCGTTTATGTGAATAAACGAGAATAAACCTGGAATTTAAAATATTTAAGGGTTGCCTAACTTGGATTTTTTTAATTTAACTGCAGAACATTTACTTGATTAAAACAACCAGATTTTACACAAGTACACTTGAGTATATCTATAGTATTTCTCAGTCACATGCACAAATACTTTCTGAAGTTTACACTCATCTGTTCTTTTGCTTTATTTTGTTTTTCTTTCTGTTTGCCTGCTCCCATACTCAAGGGCAGAGCTGCAATTGTTTTTTTTCTTATGCCCATGTCCTTCCTGTCACAACCACCGAGCTACCCGAGGAAAAGTTGGTAAGAGACTTGCTCAAGGGACCAGATTGGGGGAAATGAGGGTGGAGGCAGGTGTGGGTGCTTCAACTTTCCCACACATTTTTATGTTGTCGGTCTGGGGAGTTGAACCAGAGTCATCTAAAGCCAAGTTAGTCATTTTAAAAGGACACTGAAGCTGACAACAAACTGCACCAACCTACTAAAATATATAAATAAAAACTATACAACGAGTTCCTATAGTAGCTCGTTACAACTATGACCTTACTTCTAATCTTTTAAAGACATTACAAATAACTAATTCATTTATCCTCACTCAATCAAAATAAAAACACTGACTGATGGAGACGTGTTACTCTAATGCAAGTTCTTCACGTTTCATTTGAGATCAAATAAACAGTAAAAGTGCTTCATGTACAGTTAAAAATCTAACTGTTTGCTCTCGTCGTCACATTTTCTTGCAGTTGCAGTCAAGTATTTGTTGACGGAAGATGATTACTGTTTACAGCTTGCTGTGCTATAGACTTTGTGGTTAAATGTAATTGCTGGATGCCTGCAGGGCATTTAACTAAAAAACACTTGCGTTTTTCAGAAAGTTACACTTAATCGTAAATTTAAGACTTGTAACGAAAATATTCTTTGCAGAACGGTTTCCACTTGGGAATTATAAAACATGGCATCTGAAAACGCTGCTGACCAATAGAGGAACGAGAATTTTATTTTACCTTTTATCATTATTTTGAAAGCTGAGCATGCGTTTCTAACAAAAACACAAGTTAATGATATGAAAGCCACTGCTTCGCCTGAACTAAATTAAATCCTCTGGTACTTTTCATCAACAAAAAGTGGTTCCTGGAGAGAAAAAGGTTGGTCGGCTGCACCCGTACTTCAAACCTGAGCTATAAACGTAATCATAAAACATTTATAAATTAAAAAGATGAAAATGTTTTTTTTATGTTTAAGGAGATCTGTAAAGAAAAAAAAACCCACATTCATCTGTTCCAAGATGAAGTCAGCTGATTCTTACTGCTGAATGATTAGTGGCGCTGTACTTAATTAATCCAGTAATGCTGCAGAAAGAACAGCTGCTCACAGGAATCTTTCAAAATCAGGTGAATCCAGCCACAGAAGTGCCAAAACTCACAGCGGGCTTTAGTGTGATATCAGACTGGAGTGTTGGAGTATTCAGGCCAACGAGTTGAACTTTCAGTGTAAATGTAGCTTCAACTAACTTGGACCCATTTTGACTCAGAGGTTAAAGCAGCTCTAAAAACAAAAAGCTGATGCAGAAGTTGATGCACGTTTTATTTTAGCTAATTACTTGCTGGATGGTCACAAGTTCCCACCGTCCCAAAAAAAAGTTGTGTTAAATGATTCATTTAAATCTATGAATATTTTAAAAGGCATAGTTAATCCATCTTAAGCATATTTTCCCCCTCACTCCTCCAAGACCAGTGAGTCCGTTAATAAAAACTATTTTTGTTCTAAAGCCTCTGTTATTGCTTACCTGCAAACTGATGATGTCTGCGTTGCAGCTGAGGATTTCCTGCATGATAGATTTCTTCCTGTACTCCCAGTTTAGAGCCCAGGACGGGCAGTAGCCGTATAGCTGTCGCGTGGCGTACTTATCACACAGTACATTGTAGCACATGACTGAGAAGAGAGCTGAGGGAGGAAAACAGTTGGCACTGAAAATGAATGATTTATTGCAGTCCAGACAGTTTATGCATTTAGATCCTGCTCTGACTGACACAGTGATGAAGACAACTTTTAATTACATTTGTCACATATCCAAAAAGTTGCTCCATATTCAAACAAAAATCCTAGTTCTTTCCTATTAAAGCATTTTGTTGTTTATGTAATTAAATCATGGATTATTTCTTTTGAAATCACCAACAAAACTTAACACCAGCTTGTTGTGCATCATCAAGATCAGAACCGACAGGAGAAATTCGTAAAGGCACACAAGCGCAGCATTATTTATTTATCTTTACAACTGGACAGTAGACATGAATTAAGTCAACTTTCATCTTTAAATTGAGATATTTACATTATTTTATTGCTGACAGATCAGTTTCAGCAGCATCAACCTTGTATTAAACTGTTGCACATACAATGGGAACCTTTCCTGCATATATAGCTATAACTATTTGAGCAAAAAAGAAGAGAGCGAGAAAGAGCTGGAAACATTAAACAAGATAAACATAGATGAGAAAACGGTTTGTTTGTGTCATGCTTACTAGATGGACGTGTTCGGTCAGGTTCCTGAAGTGCGATCCAGGACCGAGCTGGTGGCTGCTCTGTTGGTACTGTGCAGAGACGACAATGATTCAGTATGAACGTTGAAATAATTTAATTAAAGGTGTCAAATAACACTCAAAGAAAACAAACAGCTCAAATACTGTTGAATTAAGAGCTTTTCCATCCACATGCTCAATTACTTATTTTCTTCCAGATATATAAAAGCAGTAATGGGACAAAATGCAATTATTGTTCCGATTTCACAAGAGCAGAAGACGAAGAGCACTCACTGCGCTTGATGGCCCCTGCCAGATTGTCTAACAAGTAGCTGAGCAGTCTTCGTGTGCCATCAGGTTCCTGGTAGAGGCTCATGATATCTTGTGCAAGTGGGTTTCCTGGGAGAGGGAAATCAGTCTGAATTATTAACAAACATCCAAAGAAATAAAACTCGCAGGACTTCAAAGCTTAAAATAAATACATACAAACCGGATTCCAAAAAAGTTGGGACACTAAACAAATTGTGAATAAAAACTGAATGCAATGATGTGGAGATGGCAAATGTCAATATTTTATTAGTAATATAACATAGATGACAGATCAAAAGTTTAATCTGAGTAAATGTAACTTTTAAAGGAAAAATATGTTGATTCAAATTTTCACAGTGTCAACAAATCCCAAAAAAGTTGGGACAAGTAGCAATAAGTGGCTGGAAAAAGGAAATTGAGCATATAACGAACAGCTGGAAGACCATTAACACTAATTAGGTCAATTGACAACATGATTGGGTATAAAAAGAGCTTCTCAGAGTGTCAGTGTCTCTCAGAAGCCAAGATGGTAAGAGGATCACCAATTCCACCATTGTTGCGCAGAAAGATAGTGCAGCAATACCAGAATGGTGTTACCCAGCGTAAAATAGCAAATACTTTTAAGTTATCATCATCAACCGTGCATAACATCATCAAAAGATTCAGAGAATCTGGAACAATCGCTGTGCGTAAGGGTCAAGGCCGTAAAACTCTACTGGATGCTCGTGATCTCCGGGCCCTTAAACGTCACTGCACCTCAAGCAGGAATGCCACTGTCAAGGAAATAACAGAATGGACTCAGGATTACTTCCAGAAAGCATCGTCAGTGAACACAATCCACCTTGCCATCCGCCGTTGCCAGCTGAAACTCTACAGTGCAAAGAGGAAGCCATTTCTAAGCAAGCTCCACAAGCTCAGACGTTTGCACTGGGCCAGGGGTCATTTAAAATGGAGTGTGGCAAAATGGAAGACTGTTCTGTGGTCAGATGAGTCACGATTTGAAGTTCTTTATGGAACACTGGGACGCCATGTCATCCGGACCAGAGAGGACAAGGATAGCCCAAGTTGTTATCAACGCTCCGTTCAGAAGCCTGCATCACTGATGGTATGGGGTTGCATGAGCGCTTGTGGCATGGGCAGCTTGCATGTCTGGAAAGGCACCATTAATGCAGAGAACTATGTTCAGGTTCTAGAACAACATATGCTCCCATCTAGACGTCCTCTCTTTCAGGGAAGACCCTGCATTTTTCAACACGATAATGCCAGACCACATTCTGCAGCAATCACAACATCATGGCTACGTAGGAGAAGGATCCGGGTACTGAAATGGCCAGCCTGCAGTCCAGATCTTTCACCTATAGAGAACATTTGGCGCATCATAAAGAGGAAGGTGCAACAAAGAAGGCCCAAGACGATTGAACAGTTAAGAGGCCTGTATTAGACATGAATGGGAGAGCATTCAATTCAATTCAAATTCAATTCAAAAATACTTTATTAATCCCAAAGGGAAATTATTTGTTGTTGTAACTCGTTATCCTCATTTTATTAAGAGATGTTATAGATGCTGATGTCTGTAGACAGGAAGGATCTCTTGTAAAGGTCCATCCCACAGTGGATCCTAAGAAACTGGCTGCAGATGCCGTCCGATCCGTCCACCCAGACTCGGCAGACCTCTCTGTTCCCCTGGACTGTAGGACCACCTGAATGCTGGGCTGAACTCCTCCCAGAGCGATGGCCACTCCTCCCAGCAGTCTGCCGAGCTCCTCATAGCTGTGGACAGTCAACTGTAGGTGCTGAGGGACGATCCTGTCCTTCTGCTGTCGTGAGCCGTGTTTCCTGCTAGTTCCAGGATCTCAGTGGTCAGGCACTCGAGCACAGCTGGCAGGTAGATGAGAATGCGTCCACATAACATCCTTTTCAACTCATTTGAGAGTTGGGGCCATAGTTGAGATATTATTTGAGCTTTTGAGATGTTAATCAGCTGCTGTTGTTGTAGAAAACAGCCTTGTTGCCATGGTTACGCATCATAACAAATGTCCAAAACTTAAAAAGTTTCAGTAAAAAATCCTTCTGGCTGCACAGCATCCGATACCAGAGGAAACAATCATCCAAAAAATATGATTTACATCCAGAAAACCAGGAATTAAAGTTTCCAAAATCAAAATCTCAGAATGAAAGTAACAGAGCTGTTCCAACATGCAGCCACCTTGAGCGGCGCAATTCTAGAACAGAATAAAATAGGAAATAGAAATAGATTCCCATTTCTAAACTTGAGAAACTGGTCTCCTCTGTCCCCAGACGTCTGTTGAGTGTTGTAAGAAGAAGGGGGGATGCCACTCAGTGGTAAAAATGGACTTGTCCCAATTTTTGGGGGATTTGTTGACGCCATGAAATTTGGAAACAACAGATTTTTCTCTTAAAATGATACATTCTCTGTTTAAACTTTTGATCTGTGATTTGTGTTCTATTTTGAATAAAATATTAGATGTTGGCACCTCCACATCATTGCATTCAGTTTTATTCACAATTTGTTTAGTGTCCCAACTTTTTTGGAATCCGGTTTGTAAATGAAGGCTGCAGAGGCACTCACCTTTCAACCCCAGTGTCTGTAACTGAAACAGTTTGCCCAGTTCAAATGGGAGAACTCGCAACTGGTTGTTATTTAAAAGCAATTCCCTATGAAGGACAAGTGGGAGTTTGGTTATTAAGTTCTTTAAAAGCAAAAACTAAAATTGTGAAAGGTGACATAAAAAAGGGCATTTAACTGATTTGTTAAGACATTTCCACGTAAGCTGTGAGGCACTTCGGCTCTGCACTAATGACATTGTGTAACCTGAAATCACTGACCTGAGAGACAGCATGTTGCCGAGCTCCGCCGGCAGGCTCCTGATCTTATTGGATGAGAGGTCCAGGTACACCAGGTTGTTTAGTTTGGCAATGTCTGGCGGGATGCGTGACAGTGAGTTGTCACTGAGGTGCAGGGCAGTGAGGTGGGTGAGCGACCACAGGGCTGTGCTAAGACTCCTTACTCGACCTGCAGAAGCAGGAGGGAAAAGAGACAAATGAAATATAAACTAAAACGGCTCAAGACTTGAGTCAAAACATATAAGATACAGCAATAAACCACTTTGTATTGGTACAAATAAATTTGGCAAAATGGAAAATAGAGTTTTTTGGGGAAACGTCCCAAATGCTTGTGCAAAATCTGAACCAAGAAAGAGTTATTTTATTTACTTTCGCTTTTTCTTTCTTTTTTTAACAACTAATACATGTACAGTTCAGCTAAGCAGAGAGATGAACTCATTCAGAGGCATACTGCCATAATCAACCATGATATTTGAGAATACTTGTACACTGGGCTTTAAAGTTTAATTTAGCTTTTTTAGATTAACTCAAATTTGAGCATAAACTATTTTGTGCTGAAACAAGAATCTGAAGTACATTATGTCTAGGGGAGTGGTGGTACAGAGGTTAGAGAAGGTGAGGTGATCGGAAGGTCACCAGTTCAACTCTCCCGATGGGAGGGAAAGGTGAAGCACCCCGTCTCCACCCTCATTTGCCCCACTCTGGGCCCCTGAGCAAGGCCCTTAAGTCCCCAGCTGGTCCCCGGGTGCCTTAAATATTTTTATTATTATTCAGATATTTAGCTGCCATCTGAATAAGCTGCCTTATTTACATGGAAGCTCTCTGCTCCACATGTGTGAGAATGTGCGAGAGAACTTCCACATTGTGGATTAATAAAGTGCAATGAAAACAAACAAACAAAATACAATATAAAAAGATTCTGCTGCAAATGTATTATTACAAGTTCTTTAATTAATAGGCTGCAAACGTCAGAAGGCAAACGGAGCGTTCATTAAATCAGGCTGTTAAGCCTCTGAAGGACTTTCTGTTTACATCACCTGTGCGGCCTCCGCCACCTTGCAGTGTTGGCAGGAGCCTCAGTGGAAAATTAAAATAAGCTGCAGGCTCTAATAATAAACATGAAATTACCAGGAGGACTTTTAGTATAATTAATTTTTAGATATTTAACTTTAAAATGAACATCAAACCATGTGACCAATGGCAACATTTGAACTAACTACTATAGGAAATTAACCGATTTAATTTAATTAAATTTAACTGATTCAGTTCAATTCAGTTTATTTCTATAGCACCAAGTCACAACAGAAGTCGTCTCAGGACAGTGAACAGAAACATTCATAATGACATTATTTATCTGAGGAGCAGAATGCTTCGAGTTGAACTTCATCGCAGACTCTCATCTTGAGCAAACATGAAGGCGACAGTGGAAAGGAAAAACTCCCTTTTAAAAGGAAGAAACCTTTAGCAGAACCAGACTCAGGACAAGCGGCCATCTGCTTCGACCGGCTGGGTTTGAGAGGAACAGGAAGGAAGAACAGATACACAATGGCAGGTTGAGAATCACGTTATGACAGAAATAGTATCAAATGAAAACTATTCAATTGTAACAATTCATTTTAAGAAATGAGGTCAATTTGTTCTCCTAACTATAGAATTTATCAAAAAGGAAAGTCTTACAACTGGACAATGTGTCAGCCTCATGGACAGAAACTAGAAGTTGGTTCCACAAGAGAGGAGCCTGATAATTGAAAGATCTTCCTCCCATTCTGCTTTTGGAAACTCTAGGAATCACGAGTAAGCGTGCAGTCTGAGAGCTAAGTGCTTTGTTAGGAAAATATGGAACAATAAGATCTGTAATATAGGATGGAGCTAAGTTGTTGAGAGCTTTGTAGTTTAGAAGATTTTGAAATCTAGTCTATTCTATTCTGATAAATTGTGGTTTTTGAATGACATCCATCAGTCATTCAAAAGTTAGCCCAAGATTTGTTGGGCGTTGCAAACCGGACACCCTCTGTTGTGTTGCTGTGATGCAATCGGCTTCAAAATGAAAGAATGCCGCACCCATGAGCTATTATGTGATCACTACAGTAATTATGGTTTTGGTTATTGTGACTCAGCAGGTGTTATGATTGTCTTGCAACTAAAAATAAATAAATAAGAGGGTCAATCCTGCTCACCACTTGCTCTAAAAAGTTCTTGGGCAAGACAATGAACGCTCAAGTTGTCTACAATATGCTTACGCCTTGTGGATAGCATGTGTGAACGTGCAAATAAAAACCCAACTGTATATTGTTATGCAGAACCTTTAGCATGTTAAAAAAGATATACACAGGTGCAGGTAATATAGCATTTGTTCCGTTAGTAATTTAACCAGCAGAGGAAGCTGGGAGGAGACTGGAGAACTAGTTCTGCTTTTCTTTTGTTGGATGTGCTGAAAGCGTTCAAGTTCAAGGAAGATTGTTTTTTTCTGCAGCTGCCCTCCACTTTGATTCCAAACCCACTGAATATTTCAAACACACACACACACCATCTTTTACCCCATAACATTCACCACAGATTAGACTGTGCTGAATGTTTTTTCCAGATATCTTTACATATCAAAGCCCAAACTTCTTCACGATACTCACCACTGATTTCCAGCTCAGCCCAGTAAGACTTCTTCCCATTTGCTGCCTCCTCGCTGGACATAATGGTGTACATCCGCCTGGGATCCGGCGGGTCATATTTTTCCTTGGGCATTCCTATAACACTAGAGAAATAATTTGTAATAAAACTGTCAGTAATCGTGTTATAAAATGTCTAATACACTCTATAAATTGCAAGGCATTCCTTTCAATCCGGCCAGAAACTTGTGGCTCTGTGCTGTAATCTACAGTACATCCAAGTGTCTGCAAATATAATTCTGATCATTACATAATTTCCAAAGCATTAGAGCAAATCACTCCTAATCCAAACAATCTGTACAGTATCAAAATCCTACTTTATGGAGACTAGTTTGAGGAGTAAAAACATTTCAAGAGCTTTACTAACTATGAACACTGTTGATGCAGAAAATCCAGCACTGGAGTGAAAGTATCCTGACGTCAAAATCAGGGGAGAGACGAGTTTATAGCTGGGTAAATAACTACACATTTAAAATCAAAACCTAATAACTGTTGTTTTAGCCCGACGCTAACTGATCAACCAGCTATGGAGCTGAACAACAAAGCCAGATCACTTTCGAGCTTGATAGCTAACAGTAAAAAATTTTTTTTTTAAAAAGGCGAACGGAGTTGTCGACTGCTTTACTGTCTTCACGCTCGTCCCGGCAGCTTAAACACTCCAACTGGTTCGAAGATGAGATAATGTGCACTTGTTGTTTACATAATGCCCGAGCACGGAGTGAATTGCGCATAAACACAAGGCCACGCTACAGCGCAACTCAAGAGCTACAGCTAAGCTAGCCGTTAGCGGCAGGAATTAACATCCACGACATTAAAACAGCGCGAGCGAGTTTACGTGAAACAGAACAAAACGCTGGGCTCGCGAGCTATTTTAGCTTAGCTTGTTAGCCTGCTAGCCAGCAAAGCTAGCAGCTCAATAATTAGAAGCTGTCCCGACTTTGTATTTTAAGAGTAATAAAAGCAGCGGCTTTGTACAAAGAAGCTTGAATCAGTGAGTAAACGTCCGTGGTGTGGTTCAGGTGGGGTTTAGTTTTACCTGCAAGAGCATAACAAATCGCGAGGACGACTGCGTGTTCTCTTTTGTTTTCTAGCTACTTCTTTCCCGTTTCCGCTGCTGCTGCTGTATCATGGCGACTGTACGGATTTTTTTTTTTCTTTCGATAACAGCGCTTCGTCCTATTGGTTATCGCTACAAGGTCCAACCAGCTGTTGAATCACAGTAAATAAAAAGCTGGACTGATGAATGACGGAGGGCTTGTTCAGTAAACACATCTAGCAGAGAAAAAACGGTTTCATCGAAGCCATGATGTAATGTGTGCAAAGGAGGAAATGTAACACAATAAAAGTCTTTTAGGAGAGAGGTTTAATACATACAAGGAACATTTTTGTAACAGTACAAATAAATGTATAAAATATATAATTGTATTTAAAAATGCTTTATAGAATAACTTATTAACACCAGAGTGAATTTAATTTGATTTCAACACTGACAAACATCCAGCAGGTAATCCTGCAGATAAGTTAGTGATTCTTCGACATGAAGAGGTAAGGCTTGACCCAGGTCAGCCCGGGATCTGGACAGGAAGGCGTCCACAGCTTCTCGAACAGCGGGTTTCGTCACCATGTCGCCCGGCCTGTAAACTAAAGTTCCGGCTTTGCCTCGTTGTTCGATGGACGAACTGTTCAGGTAGCCTGCAAATGACAGACCAGGCTGTTAACATGAGAGTAAACTAAAGTGGGCTTTGAAAAACCAAGTCCTGTCGCCCCACCTAGAAATAAAAGAGGAATTTAGATTGGTTTTGTAACGTGAAGTACTTATGAGTAGGCAGGTTCATATCCATCATGCAAAGCTAAAAGCAACTTAGGCCCACTTCACACTCGACCACCTGCTGTGACATAAAAACAAATCAATTACAAAGCTGCCAGAATGAGGTCTCTGCAGGGTCTTTGGAGAGTATTAGGAATGCAGCGGGATCCTCGTGTGACAGAGCATGGTTGTTCTGTGCATCACAAAACATCTAGTAAGACAGTAGAGAATTAAGATAGTATCTAACTGGGCTGTGACTACTGGAGACTAGTTGGCGACACAAAATTCTGAGAAAATAAGTAAAACTTCAGTTGCAGTCTCACTGAACTCTTGAGTGTTGTGAACAAACAACTAGCAAGCTGTGCGGCTGCATTTTGCATGTCCAGTTTTAGAAAACGAAACCCTGTTTTCATGTGCGCCCACTTTGTTCCCACCTCAACAGTTGCCACCATGTTTTGAATTAACCGAGTGGAGCACGCTTTTGAAATGAAGAGCAAATCTGAACTATTTTTTTTAACAAATACTATTTTTCATCAGCGTGGTTAGACTTCAACATTCAGAGCTGTAGCCTCTAGAGATGGGATGTATGGCTCTTTGAAAGGAACTGGATCTTGAAGATCCATTCACTTCAAAGAGCCATAGTGACGTCATGATGTACAACTGTATATCGTGACGTACAACGTCAAAGCCGTACCATGGATCTTTGAAGGGAACCAGATCTTGACGATCCGTTTACTTCATACAGCCATTCAGTAGAGCTGTTCAATTTTGAACTAGTGACATCATCGCGTACAAATATACATCAGAGTTATGTGGTGCATGACGGCCGTACCACAAGTCTCGTCAAGCAGGAAACACACCCCAACCCCTCCTCTGAGCTACTGCACTCCTCCCTTTTGCCTGTTCTCAGGGCGGCTGTGGATGAGTGGTTAGAGCAGTCGTCCTCCAATGCCAGAGTTGGGGGTTTGAATCCACCAGCAGTCACATGCCGAAGCGTCCCTGGGCAAGACAGTGAACCCCTCATTGCCTCTGATGTGTGTCCCGTCAGTGTATGAATGTGATAAAGCTCTGATTAGTCTCTTTAGGGGCAGCACGGTGGCACAACTGGTAGAGCTGCTGCCTCTCAGCGAGCAGGTCCTTGGTTCAAACCCCGGTCCAGGGGCCTTTCTGGGTGGAGTTTGCATGTTCTCTCCGTGCATTTGTGGGTTTTCTCCGGGTGCTCCGGTTTCCTCCCACAGACCAAAAACATGCATGTTAGGCTGATTGGTAACTCTAAATTGTCCCTAGGTGTGAATGAGAGAGTGAATGGTTGTTTGTCTCGTTTGTCTCTATGTGGCCCTGTGATGGACTTGCGACCCATCCAGGGTGTACCCCGCCCCTCGCACAGTGATTGCTGGACATGGGCACCAGCGACCCCCGTGATCCAAAATGGAATAAGTGGGTAAAGATAATGGATGGATGGATAGTCTCTTTAGAATAATTTGTTCAATTAGATTTGTATAGATCTAGTAGAGCGCTGTATGAATGGGTAAATGAAGGCACAGATTGTAGTGTAAAGTGCTTTGAGTATCTTGATTAGACAGAAAGGTGTTATTTAAGTACAGTCCATTTACCATTTCTCATTCATCTCAGTGGAAAAGCATAGGAGTGTTTGTTTCTGCACTTGATGAGGAAAACATGAAGTCCATCCATCCATTACCTTTTACACCCACTTCTTCTTTTTCAGGTTGCGGGGGTCACTGGTTCCCATCTCCAGCAGTCACTGTGCGAGGGGCGGGGGACACCCTGGACAGGTCTCTAGTCCATCACAGGGACAAACAAGACAAACAACCATTCACTCTCTCACTCACACTTAGGAACAATTTAGAATTATCAATCAACCTAACATGCATGTTTTTGGTCTGTGGGAGGAAACTGGAGTACCCTGAGAAAACCCACGCATGCACGGAGAAAACAAGCAAACTCCACCCAGAAAGGTTCCTGTCCGAAAATTGATCCGTGACCTTCTCACTGAGAGGCAACAGCTCTTCAGTTAACAAGAGTACCACATAAGGAACAAATCAATATTGGTTATGTGAAGTCAGCACTTGTCGTTTGGAACGAAGGACAGAGAACACTGGCTGAACATTTCTAGCACGTGAAGATGTTTGACTAGGGTTGACCAGATCTTATTACCACATTGTAGAGTTGGAACTAGTACTGCCTTTTAAACTGTCATTTTAGCACTGATGGACACTTCCTTGTGACTGAAGCAGCTTTCACTGAACAAAGAGGAGGTGTACGCAGCTCTGCTGGCTTTGTTTTTGATATTGGGTTCAAGGTCATCATCATCTGTAGGGTCACCACCTAGATATGTTGATTTGCCACTTCCTTAATCTCAAAGTCATCTGTCGTTATTTAGAGTGGATCTGGACAGTTGGTAGGTATGACCTCAGATTTGAGGTTGCTTATTGTCAGGCCTCAGTCTTTACAAGAGTTAAGTTGTTAACTAATAATAAACAAGATTCTGATAAAACTTCAGAGCTCTTTCGTAAGTGTGAACTCACCACACCTTTTACAAACAAGCAGAAGGTTCGAGTTTTAAACACCGTCTGCCTCCTTACTGCTTCACTCAGTAAAATTTAGACTTGAGTTCCAACACCTTTAATATTCTAATACGAATACATAATTCCCATGCTAATATTAAATAAAGTTCAGAAATATAATTATTTGACACCATCTTACCTTTCATCGCGTTATTATAGCTGAGCAGCAACATCCAGAGGAGGTGGATCAACTCCTCCCACCTCTGCCACCTTTCAGTCCCATCCTGACAAAAACATTCAGGGATCAGCTGTGATGAACACAAGCTTGCTTTTGTTGTCTTTAAATGTCAGATTTACCAGCAAACAAAAACAGTTCTACCAGTAAGGAGTAATGGCATCTTGAAAAAGTTGATTGTCATTAAAACCTAAATTGCAAAACACCCTCATTTCTTTCTTTAAATTAAAAGATGGGAGTCCGATATTCACCGTTGGGTCTGGTGCCAGAGTGCAGTTCTTCAGAAAGTGCAGCAGCAGGCTGAGCGACATGGGCACAGAGATTTTCTGTGGACATGCATAGTCCAACAACTGTTCCAACAGCTTACATAACAGCAGCTTGCTCTGCAGGCTCTTCAGCAACATCATCCTGCATATCAGAAACAGACAAACACGTCTGGGGAAACTGGACACAAGAGGCGCCGTGCTGCTAGAAGAAGACCACGTTTCTACGTGTAATGACTGAAGGATTACATTAAACTCAGTTTTACTCCAACTGAAATACCGTTGTTTGACATTAGTCCTCACACGAGGCTTTTTGAACATACATTCTCACTATGAAGTCAGAAATATTTGCTTTATTTAAAGAACATTTAGATATTTATTCCCTCTACAGTAGTCCCTGCTACTTCGTGGTTTGACTTGCGCACTCACTCTTTAGCGGTTTTTCAGCGCAAGATTGTACACGACACAGGATTGTCAACTTTAATATTACTCATGTGATTGGGACGGTGCGGGATAAAAAGTTAATGAAAAAACATACTTCGGACAGGCGCCACCTTTTTGTAGTTTTCTTTCAATAAGCCTACACTGTAACACCAGTCAAAAGAACTACACTACCCAGAACCCAACAGTGCTTCCAGCTGTGGCTTTCTGCCGAAATGGAAGGAAAGTTTTGCAACATAAAGTCCGAAGTAATGATCGATCTATTAAGCTCACAGAACTGGCAGGAAAATTACAAATAATCCTGAAGCTCAATTATCCACACACACACACACACGCACACACACACACACACACACACACACACATCAACCTGGATGGGGCGGTGGCTTGGTCGCTGCAGGGTAGGTCTGCTGAACCAGAACTGAGCTGCTGGTCTGCAGGGCTGGTGAGTACCCATATAAAATTGTGCAGTACTGTACAGTACATATACGTATAATGTGACCCTGCTCCGTCAGTTTACGTGGCCTACCACATCGTGGCTGTCATTCCCAAACACTTCCATTTTCTTATAATCCAGCTGACAGTTGACTGTGGAATATTTAGGAGCGAGGAAATTTCACGACTGGATTTCTTGCATAGGTGACATCCTATCAGTTCCACGCTGGAATTCACTGAGCTCCCGAGAGCGACCCATTCTTTCACAAATGTTTGTAAAACGGTCTGCATGCCTAGGTGCTTCATTTTGTACACCTGTGGCCATGGAAGCGTAACTACTTCAGTTTTTCACCCGTCACAGTGGTGTTTGGAACGTAACCCCATGATAATCGAGGGACTACTTTATCGTTTGCTTCATACATATTTTGAGATGAATTCCCTACAAAACTTGAAACTTTAATTTTATTATTTTAATAAAAAACTTTAAAATTTGTTGGCTTTTCACAAGTATCTTTATTCATTATATGTTTAGTTCCTTTCTGAAGACTAAAAACAGACCTGGTGTTGTTTGTTTGTGCGTTTCTCCACACATAAACAGCGAGTTATGTTTGAAGCAACATTTTAGTGTATCGGTATATAACCATGCCGGCAGTAATACAGTTTTTATTTTGTGCGTTATTTCAACTGACTTGGACTTTTTTTTCATCATAACTTCTGTGATTACAACATAATTCAGAGTTTATAATTACTTTAAAAAAAAACTTGATTGCAGACACTAATATTTTTCATAAAAACAAAAAATAAACATTTAGCAGTTTATCCAAACAAAACAGAAAAATGATTTGCTAAGCAAAATGACAATTATTAGATTCTTAAATAGATAATGTTAACATTTAAAGGTATTTTCTTAAACTGGACCTGAAATGTGTTAAACGTTGAAAGCAAAAACAATTTATGTAACTCTAAAAAAGTTAAATCTAGTCCTCTGGACATTCAAAAAACAAAAAAACAAAGCAAATCAACAAAAAATGTAGAAACGTTTCCACCCCTGTTTAATGATGGACGATTTCTTTTCACAAAGATGGCCTCCTTTACTCCTCTCTCAAACCATCGTTCCTCTCTGTCCAGGATGTGAACATCTTCATCCCTGAAAGAGTGACCGCTGGCCTGGAGATGAGTGTAGACCGCAGAGTCCTGGCCTGATGATGTGAAAAGAAATCGTCCATCATTAAACAGGGGTGGAGGCCTCCGGGTTCAACTGTCCCCCTCTTACAATGCTGTGATTGCTAGTATCACTCAGCCCTCTGTGAACAGTAAACAGCCATCAGTGTGCTAATGATCCATTGTTAGGCTGATGGTCCTTCTTGAGCATGTGATCAGCTGGTTTTGGTTGTCAGCAGCAAACTGGTTGATCCACTCTGAGAAGGTGCTATTTAAGAGACTGAGCTGAATACAGCTCCTCAGACTGAGGAAGTCTCTCGGATGAGAGACGAAACGTTTCTACATTTTTTTTTGTTGATTTGCTTTTTTTTTTTTTTTTAATGTCCAGAGGACCAGATTTAACTTTTTTAGATTTTTCTACCTGGATTATTGAGCATGCATCAGGATAATTTATGTAACTCTTGATTTTCCCTTTTATCGTCACATTCCTGTAAGAAATAGTTTTACAAAAACATACAGACTTTTCCTCATCTTGTTTGTCCTCACCTGTGCGCTCGAGGCGGCACGTGACTGAGGACCATATGAAAGAGCTCCTGGGAAAGCTTGGCAGAGTTTAGAGCGGGACATCGGTCCACCTCCAGAGCCAGAGACAGCATCCTTTGGAAGAGGGACACCATTCTGTGGGGGACAAAAACTTCAGTCACAAAGAGTGTGGAAGGAAAAACAAACAAATTAATCTGATATTTCCTCTGCTTGTCCTTACAGCTTTTGACGAGAGATTAAAAAAAAAAAAAAAGATCCTAATTACCGGTACACTAACAAAAGCCGAAGATAAGCTGAAGATGTTAAGACTTTCATTACCAAAGAGGACAGGTTTGGAAATTATTATTACGGTTGATCTGTTTGGAGACAAAGTTAGAGACAAGGCTGAGGTCTTGGACATGTGTGAAGGATGGATAGAGGATATTTAGGACAAAGGATACTGAAATTGGAGCAGCCAGGGAGGAAGAAAACAAACAGAAAAGACCTCAAAGTTTATGCTCAATAATCCAGGTCAAAAATGGAACAAAGTTAAGTCAGGTCCTCTGGACGTTTTTTTTTTCCTTTTTTTCTGAAACGCTTTGTCTTTCATCCAAAAGATGAGTGTGCTGCTTATGGGACTGAGTTTGTTGTGGCGCCTCGGACTGATGAAGTCTTCTGGATGAAAGACGAAACGTTTCAGCAACAAGAAACCATCCACAGAACCTGACCTCACTTTGTTGGAACACAGAGAAGGTTCGTGGATGTAGTGAGGGAGGACATGCAGAGGATTGGTGTGGTGACCTCTAAAGGGAGCGGCTGAAAGACGACGACTCACTTTAGTTGTTCATCTCGCTCTTTAATCATTTCTTTATGTAATCCAAGTTCTGTTGATTTCTTAATGGCACAGAACAGCCACTTGATGACATCTCTGGAAAAGTCAAAACAATCAAACAAACAAGAAGAAAAAATTTAAAACATTACATCTTCAGATATGATCTATAAAAGCTGCTTGAAATCAGAATAAACATGCAAGGTTGAAATATTTGAAAACTAAAATAAACCCTCATGTTGTGTCATAATCATGTTTACATTGTTGTCTATGTGCTGGCTGTGGACATTTATGCCCCTTTTCCATTAGTACCGGTACGGGCCGGTACAGCCCGGCTCTACTCTACTCGGTACGGTACAGGTTGTGTTTCCATTATGCTTTCAGTACCGGTTCCAGTGGGCGGGGTTCAAATTGACGTCACCACCTCTCACCAGCTGGTGGCGCTGAGACGCAGAAACTGTTTTCAGTACAGGTTGAGAATTTATGTTATTTTGAAGTTGTGTGTATGTATGTATGCATGTATGTGTGTATGCATGTATACATGTGTATAAATATATACATATAAACATATATATATATTTATACACACACACAAATATATATGTACACACATATGTGTTTATATTTATGTGTGTATATATATATATATACACACACACACATATATCATATGTGATATATATATATATATCACATATGTATATACACAATTATGTATATATATGTATATATATATATACACATATGTATTTATATACATATATATACATATATATATGTATTTATATATATTCATATATATTTATATACATATATATGTATTTATATATATACATATATATTTATCTATATTTATTTATAATATAAATATATATATGTATATAAATTACATATATATGTATTTATATATATACATATATATTTATCTATATTTATTTATAGATATAAATATATATATATGTATATACATTAAAACTCTGATGAACCAGATTCTACAAAAACATTACATTTAAATTTTTATAGGTTTTCATCATCATTTGATGTATTTGCACTCATTGTGTCTACTTTTAATGTTCATTTTAAATGTGTGGTTTTCTTTCTTGTTCACATATAAACATTTTATTTTTAGCTTTGCTTTAAAGTTCTTGTTTTGTGATTTGTACATTTGTGAGTTAAAATAAAGTTGAACTGAAGGTCGTCTCTTCTTTAAACATGTTTGAGGGAAATATTCCTGAGATCCAATAGTTTTGTGTCTTTTTATGATTTTCAGCTGAGTTAACAGTCATTAAAGTGAAAACAGGATTTCACGATGAAGCTGGCACCGTTTTTTTTTTTTTTTTTTTTAATCTTCAACGCTCTGCTGGTCTCGCACGACACTGCCCGCAGTCACACGATCCTCTCCTCCGGAGAAGAGGAGGCTGGCAGGCTCATCTTCCCAGCTCCGAGCTCTGCTGGTGACTCCAGAGGCTGTTCCAAGACTCCAGCCGCGCGTAATCATGAAGGTCCGACCCGCGCAGACAGGCGGGCAAAGACGGGTCTGCGACGAACGGTGGAAGCGATTTTAAAAAACATTTTACGTGTAAAAAAAATAATAATCATTTTTAAATCGCTTCAGCATTTTTTTAAAACATTTTTTGTATAAAAACAAAATATTATTTTATTTAAAAATCGCTTCCAGCGTCCGTCCCAGACTGTCCAGTCCGCCTGACTGCCGGGTGGGATCGGGATTCAGCCTTCATGATTACGCGCGGCCGGGGTCTGGCAACGGCCATCTGCGAGTCCCCATCTCCAGCTTCGCAGTGGCCTGCGGAGCTCTGAGCACACAAGGCTGGTATCTGGAACCCGAGCCTCCGAGTCGGCACATTGAAGGATCTTCCGCGGTGACCAGCTGAACTTGGAGCCGGGGAGATGACGCCCTGCCCGGCCTGGTGCTCCGAGGCTCCGGAGGGAGGATCTGGGTACACCAGCAGAGCTCCATCCAGCTTGCTCTAAATTATGTTGTCTGCCACCAAGCACAAAAAATGCCAGCACATCAACATTAGGCCAAGATGTTGTCAGTATTGTTTTTAAAATCTTTAAAATAAGTCCAGGCTGCTCCAGTCCGAGAAATTGCAAATGGCGGATTATTGTTTTGAAACGTTTCTGGAGGATCCAGTGACTCCGCCCCCGATCAATCAGTGACCGACAGTGTACTGACGTCACATTTTTGTACCTCTTCGTACCGGTTAGAACCACAGAGCCAAGGGTACTGAAAATAGTAACAGGTGCTAAGTACCGGTACTAATGGAAAAGCCTCAGAACCGGGCCAAGTAGGGTCGAGTCGGCCCGTACCGGTACTAATGGAAAAGGGGCATTAGAGGTGTGTGTGTGTGTGTGGGGGGGTGGGGGTGGGGGTGGGGGTACACATCTTGTAAAAACTGCTATTTTTGCATTCAGTTTGTGACTGTGATTTCTGTCAACCTTTGCAATTCCAATGATGCGCATGACGTTATTAAACTATTGACAACTTTTCCATAAATTGTGCCGAACTTATAAGTTGTTAACCATTCCAAGAGCCATGTTGTATGTTCCTGTAGCAACAAGCTTGTTTGAATTTTGAGCTTCTGCAACATCATTTTTCCCAACAAATACGAAAAATGAATAACCTTTTTACCTGACTGAGTTGCTTCCAATACATTTATCATTGTATAAAACATGGGCAACTGTGGCTGAGTGGTTAGAGCAGTTGTCCTCCAATGGGAGAGTTGAGGGTTCGATTCCACCAGCAGTCACATGTTGAAGAAGTGTCCCTGGGCAAGACACTGAACCCCTCATTGCCTCTGATGTGTGTCCCATCGGTGTATGAATGTGATAAAGCTCTGATTATTCTTGTAGAGATCTAGTAAAGTGCTGTACGAATGGGCAAATGAGGACACAGATTGTAGGAAGCTCAACAATTAGTTTGATTCTTGAAAAAAAAAAAATCACTGAAACAAGTTGAAGTCTGGGTACTGGGTAACAAAATCTGCTTTTCAGTAAGATTTTTGGAACTGTGGTGAAAATGTGGTTGTTTAGTCCTCCATTCCTGCTTTGGACAGGATTTCATAGTTCATAAGTTTGCAGCCTTTTAGTTTTATTTTATTATTCATAATTAGTTTTTTATTATTTACCTGTTTCCATGTTGTAACTTGTCTGAACTGCTGACAGCCAGACCCCTACTGTCCAAGCCTAATGAACTATTTAACCCCAACACAAAATGAGTGGTAATTATATAATATAGATATAATATCATTTGGTTAGCAAACTTACCTGACCCGAGGAAACTGTCGATCACACGACAGTGTTGCTTTTGCGATCGAGTGGTGAACAGATGAGGAACATTTGGCCTTGAAGTCGTCTTCTAATGTCTGCACAACATATTCCAAGAACATCCGCACAACTTCGCATCGACGCTGCTTTGTGCAGTCCTAAAAATGAAAGAAAATCAGGATATAGAACACTTTAATTCATTATGTCTCTTTTGTGTAGGTAGTACCAGATAAATTACTGTATCCTTCAGACATCATCATGCTGCTAAGTGGTCAATACGACCTTGTGCACGTTCATGTTTACAATAAAATACAGTTTCATGTCTACAGTGCAGCTTTAAGTCACCTTCGGCTAAGAGACAAGTGCGATATGATGCGACATGAAAGGAAAACTGATATTAGGTATTTACTTTACTTCTTATTCTCTTTATATATTTTATATCGTCGTAACGGAGTACTGTAATTATGTTTTATTCGCACTGGAGAATTGCACCTTACCGTAATTTCGTTGTATGAAGTTTCATTATTAATGACGGATTCTCTGATAAACACGAAAACTTAATTTGATCGCATGAAAGGATCTGAGATTTAGTGCATTTTTATTTATCACAGACAAAATTCCTTTCAGGTGTTCTTGCTCAGCATCTCCGCAGTATTCTGGTTATGTCTGCTGCTATTTCACACACACTGTGGAAGCACGGTGGCTTAGTGGTTAGCCTCACAGCAACAAGGTCCCAGGTTCAATCCCAGATTTGGACCTGGGGTCTTTCTGTGTGGAGTTTGCATGGTCTCCTCGTGACTGTGTGGGTTTTCTCCGGGTACTCCAGTTTCCTCCCACAGTAAAAATACATGCATGTTAGGCTGCCTTCAGGCCCAGGCCTCCCTTGCAAAAGAGATCTGTGATCTCAATAGAATTTGCTGCGTTAAAATAAAGGTAAAAACACTATGTACACATTTTGCTGCACACTTGGCATTACCTGATTAGACATGACTGAAGTCACTAATTCCCAATCCCATGGAACTGTGGATTTATTAATCCTGTGGTGTCTGCAGAAAAAGCAAATTCACACTGGGGTGAGGCTAAATTCAACATCTTGTAACAGGAGTTACATTTGTGCCTTCTTCTGACCTTTGTGTCCACATGAGTAAATTAAACGCCTGTACGCTGAGGTGATGGGGACTCTGTGGGTCGAGCAGAATGCCACGAAGTAGGTGGGAGATTATATCTTTAGGGGGATAGTAACCGGGCTGCAGTAGATCTGACAATAGCTGTAAAGTGCCCTCTGAGTAGTTCTCGTCGATTGTGCTATAAACCAGGCTCAGGCTCTGGCGGCACAGAACTTCTGGTGTTCCAGAAATGTCATAATCTTCATCGATCTGAAAAAGAAAAGACATATACTGTATATAAAGAAGTGCTTTGTATTGTAGCTGGCATGAAGTCAAAGTTAATGAGGGCTACAGAAATAAGTTCTTACCAGAACTCGAGGTGGTCCAGTCATAGCTTTCCTGAGAGCGACTGGGCACACGTACTGTCTGACCCCTTTACCGACTGCTCTGAAGTCCGTGACAAACCTGCTGTCTTCACGCATATCTTCTCCATCACTTTCCCCATGCCAAGGCAACGACGCTGGACTCTCACTTCTCAGATCATCATTGTATGTTTCAGTCTCCAGATACCACTCAGGTGTATATTCACCCGTCGGTTCTGAGATGGGCGACTGGTTGCCATGGCTCATATGGCTGGGAGATGAGGGACTTTTGCAAGAATGTGAGGAAGAATGATCAGAGGAACATCTTTGACCAGGTTCGGGTTGATCTAAATCCATCTGTTCCAGGTCGGAGTCAAGTGCTTGTTTTGGGACTTTAGCTTGAGGTGAAGAAATAAAAGTTGGGGACAGAATGTGGTTGGAAGAGTTTAAACTACTGGTAAGTAGTTTATTTTCCCAAGTGTTCCCCTTGTTTAGGTTTGCACCAGAATGAACTTCCTTTATGGTAGAACATTCAGCTGGATGCTGGAATTGCTCTGATCTTGCACCTTGTGTTGATTCCTTTGACAGTTTATCATTTATCTGATGTCTAGTTGGAGAATTCAGTGCCTCAGGGAGTGAAGGTTCCATATTTGATGAAGTCGTTTTTAAAATACTTGTGCATTTTGGTACTTCACTGTTACTGTTTTGTTGTCTAAAGCACATCAACATCTGAGAAATATCACTGTCACACTGTTCAGAACACCATGATGTGTTCAGATCTGAGACGTGAGTTTTGAGAAAAGGCAGTTGTGTCAACTTTACAGCTGGTGTGTCTTGCCGGAGATTTGCTGCAGTGTTTTCCTCCTGGGCTTGTGTTGGAGAATTCAAATGTCTCTTCCCTGACCGTTGGGTGCCACAGTCCTGCTGTGGGGATTTAGAGTCTTTAGGTGAGCTTTTCATTAAAATAAAATCTTGGTCATTTGGGATTTCATTTAAATGTGTGTTGCCTTTTTTGAGGTGTAGGTCATTTGGTACCTTATCCTCAGTCTGTAGTTCATTCTCTTTCTCTACACACTCTGTCAAGTCTATGACTGGAGGGTAAGGGAAATCTAGCTTCTTGTGCAGCTTAAGCTCTGGAACAGTCCATCTTGGGTCTTTGAGGTCAATACACTGCTGGAAAATGGAAGAAAAAAAAGAAGAAATGTAAGTTTTCAAACAGATTTACCAAAGGACTGATGGATTCATGCAGAACTGTGGAAGAAAAAGTCATTCCACGATGATCTGTTTACCCACATAAGCTCAAAGAACGCAGATAAACAGGAAACTGTAAAATCAGGACCTGAGCATTCAGGGTTCTTTAATCAGGACACTGGCTATCTTCATTCTGAACAACTTGCACCAGCGTGGCTTCATAAATACAAAGTGCATACACCTGAGTGCTTCAGTGACTCGTCTGCAGTCCAGATCTGCCTTCAAATGTATAACATTATGATTAAAAACAAGAAACAGACAAAAGAGGCCACAGACTTTTGAGCAGCTGCATTTAAAGGGAAGGTTTTCTAGAAAACACAACAAAGATCCGATACCTAAAGATGGAAGAAAAGAGGCTGAACTACACACTACTGCTCTACGGTCGGGGGAGAAGAGAGAAGGCCTTTCACGATTATTAAGGTTTCATCGTCTGCTCGAGGCAAAGGTGCAGCAAAAACGGTTTTGCCTGTATCACTGAGCACATGTTCATTTGTCTACACCTTTTCAATTAAATTCTCAAATTAATTACTCTCTGTATATCCTTAACTAATCAACTTCAGTCAAGGAATACTAATTTGTTAACTTTAATGACATTTACCTTCCAGCTGCAGCCCTTTCGACACAAGTACCACCTATGAAGTATCTTTTAACTAACTGGCTACTGTTGACACAGATATTTGTCCTTGAATATTTTTTCAGACTTTTGGATGTTGCTCAGATTTCCAAAACATTTCTGTTTTAAAGAAGCTAATCTTAAAGCTAACAAAGTTAAGTCAGGTCCTGTGGACAGATTCTTGTTGTTGAAACGTTTCGTCTTTTATCCAAAGACCTTCAGCCTGAGGTCCTACAACAAACTCAGTCTTATAAATAGCACCTTATCATAGTGGGTCAACCAGTTTGCTGCTGACAGCCAAAACTAATTGTTCACACGTAAAAGGAGGACCATCAGCCAAACAATGGATGCACTGATGCCACTTGCTATTCGGGTTGAGTGATACTTGCAATAACAGCATTGTACGAGGGGGACAGTTGAAAATGGAGACCCCTTCCCCGTTTAATGGTGGATGTATTCACAAAGATGACTGAGAGAAGAGTAAAGGAAGCCATCTTTGTGAAAAGAACCCATCATTAATTCCAGTCTGTCCCCAAGACATTGTTGATCCAATTTCTATACTTGAATTTATTTTTTTAACAAGCAAACATTCCCTAAAACTTTTTAGCTGAGAAGTTGTCATATAGCTAGATTAATAATTAAAATACGACATGTCTATTATGTCTTACTCGGTGTTCTCTTAAATACATGATTTTCAGATACATGTGTCCACTGTAGATAGTTTTATTTGTTTATTTATTTTCTGAAATCTTCTTATGTTCTCTAATTCTCATTTTTACAGCACCGCTGCACAAACAAAGCAACCAAAGGCCAAAGAAAAGCTTTGGAAAACCTCTAAGAATTATTCATATATTTTACTTTAAAATATTACAAGAAATTTGTTTTTAATAGAAGCAATAAATGAGTTGGGGTGGTTGAAAACTTTCGCACAGCACTGTATTGTACATATTTCTACAAACATCAGTTAAGCTCAGTTCAGGAAATCACAAACATGCTAAAGTTACGCTAAATGCTAAAGAGCACTCATACCATGTTAGTAAAGATGTTCACTTGAGCAGAATTTCGATTTAAATATGCCCAGAAACCAACTTAAAACCTGGTGACCAAAGCTTGACATGTCTGCTAATGTTGGGATAAAAAATAAGAATAGAAACTTGTGAAAAAAAAAAACAACCCTTCATACTACCTCTGAAAACCTGTTTGCTCCTCGGAGCGCTAGTTTCCATAGCAACAAGAGGCCTAGGTTCTGTTCTTACCCGCGGTATGTTGACGTTCACGGCGTCGACGTCAACCCGAAATTCTGACAGCGGCAGTGGCTCAGACTTGGTGAAGCCGCTGGAGGAGACGATCTCCACATCGTCATCGTTAGACTCATCTGAGCTGAGACAGATCACGTCCATTTTCAAACTTAAAGCTGTTCTGGTCCTCTCGCGCACGCTCAGGGGGCGAGGGTCACCTCCGTCCCGGACACACACACATACCTGAGGCAGGAAACAGTTTAGCCACTTCCTTGTTCAAATCCTGCGCTACATACCACGCATGCTGTTTGCGATTTTTTTTGATTAGTCGTAACTTTAAGTAGGCGCGCTTCGCTCGAAAGAAACGACATTAAAATGAAACCACAAGCGACAAACTCATTTCAGCAGCATTATACTTCCTAGTTTTTCTACCGACATTTCTTCTTCTCTCATCTGACGCAGTTTATCAGCGTCACAGATTGTATCTAGCGCCACCTGCGATCATGAAGTGCAACTGCAGTCTTTTTTCTCTCCTCAGCATGTCCTCAAAACCAGTGAATTCATACGTACACCAGGTAAACAATAACTAATGACAATTTAAGAAAAATAGCTACATTTAACTTTTCTGCTCAAAGCAAGAGGCTATTTGAAAACCACGATAAACATAATCAGGAAATATCCTGATGAACGCTCAATCCCAGTGTTTTGGGCCATCCTTTTGGCCAGTGGCTGTTTAGTTTCCCTGCTGTAAGACTGATCACCCTCCTGACACTGAACAACATACACAATATTACTCTGTTTGTGCTGGGGGACTGGATCTTTGGGATGGACCAGTCTTCCCAAACATCCAAACTTCATCAGGCCAGGACTCTGCAGTCTACACTCATCTCCAGGCCAGCAGTCACTCGTTCAGAGATGAAGATGTTCACATCCTTGATAGAGAGGAACGATAGTTTGAGAGGAGATTGAAGGAGGCCATCTTTGTGAAAATAAATCGCCCATCATTAAACAGGAGCGGAGGCCTCCATGTTTAATGGATGTTCATGTCCCCCTATCACAATGCTGTTATTGCTAGTACCACTCAGCCCCCTGTGAATAGCAAGCAGCCATTAGGGCTCCAACGAGCCATAGGCTAATAGTCCTCCTTGATCATGTGAACAGCTAGTTTTGAATGTCAACAACAAACTGGTTGATCCACTATGAGAAGGCGATATTTATAAGACTGAGCTGAATACAGCTCCTCAGACTGACTAAATCTTTCGGATGAAAGACGAAACGTTTCTAGAATTTTTTATTTTTAACCCATTTCCAGAGGACCTGACAACTTATTTAAATAATAAGGAAATATTTTTAATGAGTTTAAATAAATATTTTAAAAGGATTTATCTGAATATGTTTAACAAGCATGAGTTGAAAATTGTGCATCAGACAAACTAGATTATATAGCCTCCTGAACTTGTACGTTTTAATAAGCTCCAGGTTTTGGTTTAGTTAGTTCTAGGGTTTTGTCACCTTGCTAAACCCTACAGAATTTATTTCAAAACAGTTTAAAGTTCTTTTCTCAAAATAAGAATGCCTAGCCTGCTTTTGCAGCATACTTTTTGACATAAACTTTGTTAGTGCAAAGGTGGAGCCTTCAAATAATAATAAACCTACCAAAATTCAGTGTTTGTGTGTACGCTCATTTGTAACCGCTAGAGGGCGCTCCAGTTGTAACAAAGCTGGACAAATGTGAGGTGTGTGAAGTGAAAAACAGAAAAAAATACTCCCAAATTAAATTGAACCTTTTTTAAAAAAAAAGGTTTGAACAGATAAAGTTTTTTCTCCTCTTTTCTTCTGTTATACCTTCTTTAAACTGTGTTGGTTCCTACAAATATCTGACACCGTGAGGCACTAAAATATGAAAAAAGAAAATAAGTTATAAACACTGTCAGACAGGAGCTAAATAAATAAACACATGTAGTTATTCTGTAATTAAAATAAAAACATTCTTCAACAATTAGCTGAAGCCCAACTCTCATAGAGGTCAAACAGTTTGAAATATTGTCAGCCTCATTTGTGACTTCCTGTTTCTCATAAAATATTTGTGTTGTGTGAATGCTGAGTCAGCTTTCACTATTTTGTTTTCATGATTTTTTATTTGTATGTTATTTATTTGTTTATTTGTGCGACTTATTTTGCTGTGGCGACCCCTGAGAAGGGAGCAACCGAAAGAAGAAAGAAATATATGTACTTTTATTTAGCGATCTACTTTTTTATACTTTTCTCATATGTTTGCTATTCATCCATCCATCCATTATCTTTACCCGCTTATTCCATTTTGGGTCACGGGGGTCACTGGTGCCCATGTCCAGCAATCACTGTGCGAGGGGCGGGGTACACCCTGGATGGGTCGCAAGTCCATCACAGGGCCACATAGAGACAAATGAGACAAACAACCATTCACACTTTCACTCACACCTAGAGACAATTTAGAATTACCAATCAGCCTAACATGCATGTTTTTGGTCTGTGGGAGGAAACCGGAGCACCCGGAGAAAACCCATGCATGCACGGAGAGAACATGCAAACTCCACCCAGAAAGGCCCCTGGACTGGGGTTTGAACCAGGGACCTGCTCGCTGAGAGGCAGCAGCTCTACCAGTTGCGCCACCGTGCTGTCCACATTCACATACATACAAAGTTAATTAGTAAAACGTATCTAGGAAGAAAGCCAGCAGACGTGCTGAATCTTCACTTCATCTTTTAAGCTGCTGCTTTTAGAATTTGGCTTTTGTTACTTGTAAATTTTAGCTAACATTCTGCTATTTATTTTTTTTAGCTAGCCTTTAGAAAATTACGTCATAACTATTTATCTGTTACTTTTACCTATCCTTTTGCTATTTTACATTTGCGGTTGTTTTATTACTTTTTGTGTCCAGCTAGCCTTTTGTTACATTTAGCTAGTGCGTTATTATTAATTCATTTCAATTGAGTTAATTTTTTTAGTGCCAAATCACAACAGAAGTTGTCTCAGGGCACTGAACAGAAAACATTCACATACATAAAAATAACCTTCCTACTATGTTAGGGTCCGTAGTGACCCATTTTAAATTTTAAATCATGATACTGTCTTTTAAATATTTTTTTTTTGCATCAAGGCTTTTTGACTTTGTCTGGAACCTTTATTTAAATAAAAAAAATTATTTATTTTTTCACTAAATTTAATTTTTATTTTTTATAGAACAACACGCACTTGCCGCGCTGGGGTCATTTGTGACCCAGTTATGGTATAAGACTATCAACCAATAATCAGTGTCAAAACTGAAATCATAAACACACTGTGACCTCACTAACTTTTTCATACATATGTTAGGGCCTTCTGTTTTTACCTGTTTGTCTACTTCACTGACCAAAACATCCCCATTTATCCGTACTACTTTTATTGATAAGTCCCTCATACTCTGCTCCCAAAAACTGAAAAAGTTCATCCAGCTGTAGATGCAGAGACATGTTGAGGCATGCCCAAGTAGAGATAAGCCTACCTGGATAGCCATGCCCATCTTGATAGGCAGACCTAGATAGACACACCCACCTGGGTGTGTCTCTACATGGGCATGTAGAGACATGTAGAAACAGACACTCCATTTTACCTAGAGCTTGGCTGCATACCAAAATGAAGAGAAGATTCACAGTACAAGAAGCTCTAGATCACATCCTTGCTGAAAATGATGCAGAGGACACACCTAGTGACACAGATGAGCCAGTTTCTGAGGAGGACGATGCTATTGAATATGAATCAGAGTACACAGACTCGTCGGATGAGGAGGGCACAGGTGCTGAAGCTGCTCCTGTAACTGAAACCTATAAATCCAAAAAGGGTAACATCACTTGGAGTGAGATTCCTCCTGTTTCACATGGCATGGAAGCTGCTGAAAATGTTATGAAGATGACCCCTGGGATTACAAGGTTTGCTGTGACATGAGTAAGTGACATCAAGAATGCTTTGATTTGTTTATGCCATTGTCACTAAAGAAAGTCATCATTGCTATGACAAACCTCGAAGGGAAAAAAGTTCACGGTGACACTTGGAAGGACATTGATGAGGAGTGCCTGGATGCTTTTATTGGTGTTCTTCTTCTCGCTGGCGTGTACAGATCCAGCAATGAGGCCCTTACTAGTCTCTGGGATGTGTCCACAGGCAGGAGTATTTTCCGCGCAACAATGTCACTTCAGACCTTTCAAATGATCTCAAGAGTCCTCAGATTTGACAATAGAGATACTAGAGCACGGTCTGACAAGCTTGCTCCCATCAAAGACGTCTGGGATAGATGGGTGAAGCTCCTTCCACTGATGTTCAACCCAGGACCAGAGGTGACAGTGGATGAGCGTCTTCTCCCTTTCTGTGGAAAATGCCCCTTCCGGCAATACATGCCCAGTAAGCCAGGCAAATATGGCATAAAAATCTGGGCAGCCTGTGATGCGAAAACCAGCTATGCCTGGAATCTACAGATTTACACAGGCAAACTTGCAGCTGGCATCCCTGAGAAGAATCAAGGAAAATGGGTAATCCTTGATATGACTACTGGACTGTGGGGTCACAATATCACGTGTGACAATTTCTTCACCAGCTATGATCTTGGACAAGAACTTCTCAAGAGGAAACTTGCCATGGTGGGCACAATAAGAAAAAACAAACCTGAGCTGCCCCTTGAAATTTTGCAGGTGAAAGACAGGGCTCCACTGTCTTCAAAATTTGCTTTTACAGAAACCACCAGTGTTGTTTCATACTGTCCCAAAAAGAACCGGAGTGTGGTACTTATGTCCACTCTTCACAAAGATGCAGCTGTGTCAACAAGAAGTGAGAAAAAGCCTGAAATCATCCTGGACTACAATAAAAACAAAGGAGGAGTGGACACCCTGGACAAGCTGACTGCCACCTACACTTGCCAGCGAATGACCAGGAGATGGCCAATGGTTGTATTTTACAACATCCTAGATGTGTCTGCATACAATGCATTTGTCTTGTGGACCCAGATTGACTTGGGGTGGAACGCCAAAAAAAAACCACAAGCGGAGATTGTTCCTTCAGGAGCTAGGAAATTTGTTGATCAAGCCATACATTGAGAGAAGGAAACGGATACCCCGAGACCCAGCCACTGCGAACATTGTCAGACAGCTCCGGAGCACCACTCCAACCACATCATCAGCTGCACAAAGTGCATCAGTGACAACACGCCCTTCAGGCAGCCGGGCTTCAACATCGACCACACCCACAACTCCACCTGCTTCAA